TTTTCATATCCTTTCCCTGAATTTAATCACTTTATGAATCATGAAGTCAAACCTTGACTTGCTTCTGAGGAACTATTTCCCATAAACATGCTGCAAGGCCATGCCGTTAAAGAATTTGTTTGTCGACGCTTAACTTAATTGCTAGCTAGATGATGGAAGACAGCTATCAGTTATTAGTAATGGCAGTAACTATGTAAGATAAGCCAGAACAATACATTTCTGAGATACTGCCCAGTACATGGAGGAATCTTTGATGCTAGAACAGAAACACCAACTAACACAAACAAACAGAAATGATTAGTTGGCTTTGATTGCCGGGAGATTTCTGATTCTGGATTTTGACTAACTGGTAGCCAATCAGTTATATGAACAGTTCAATTCTAAAAATAATTATAAAATCCAGGACTGGAAACTGAATTCAAGGTCCAGATTTGGAGACCTGTGATCTAATGCTCTCTCCCCCTTGACTCTGGTTGATTTTGCTTGTGAGTTCTTTTTCTGGATATTCAAAAAGATGCTGGAATGTTTGTTGCAGAACTTTTGGTTGGTGTGTTCACAACAGTTTTTTATAAGTTAGTAAAGTCTTTACCCTTAGTTAACAATAGTTCATTTCAAACTATGCTTTTACTAAGGTCAGTTGCACCAGTCATGTCTAGCTAGTGACAACTGCTAATACATCTGTCGCTTTAACATGCAATAACGTTCAGAAGCTACAAAAGCACTGCCATGGAAACGTGATGCCAGCTTGCACTGACTTTTTGCATTACATGAATAAATACTGAGTACAAAAGAGAACAACGTGCACTGGTTTACAATTGTATGTTTTCACAACTAAAGTAAATAAAACTGAATACCTGTAGCCATTGTTTGGTTATTTATTTGTTAATAATTAACTGAAGGTGAATTTTTTAAGCAATGGTTTCTGGCCAGCTGACACAACAGCAACTCTCACCTCACCTTAACTGAAGCTATGGATGTCAACTTCATGTTCAGGATTAAAACCAGGGTCATGATTATAGCTGTACGTAAAATCACAGCAGTGTTTTCAGTTTAGTTATCTTAACCAAAAAAGTCAGGTTGTCTTTTTGGTCATTGGTTTTCCCAACACTTACAGGTGCTTAGGGTTCTCTAGGCCCTCAGGCAGATTATGTCTCCATTTCCAGAGTTTATGCTGTAGGATGCCAGTGCTGAGTGGCCTTATTAAGGTTTTAACTAAGATTTGTGGTCAAAACAGGGAGTATAGTCAGAGACTCATCCAAATATAGAGAGATCCATAATCGATAAACAAGGCAAGAGCACGAGCCAGAAAACACTTGAATTAACCACCCAGAGGAACAAGGAAGAAGGAATACAGCTCAGTAATGCTACCTTCAAGTTGTTGACACACAAAGTGAAACAGTGTGTAAACAGTGATAACATGATAATGTAGTTAAAAAGACACAGGTGCAGGTGTAAAGGGGAGGTGCCAAGGTGAAGCTGGAGCAGGAGAAAACCAGTCAGGACCGGAAGAGCCAATGTAAAGTCTCCTAGGGCGGAGAGTTCAAAAATTCAAATGCTTAAGTCAGAGTGGGCAATATGGCAAAAAATATAACATCAAAATACCTGAAGATATTCAGTTTTGGATATATTTAGTTTTTCTGAGGTTTGCAGACAAAACACACTAGCAATGGAGTAGCGCCATGTTAAAAACAGGTTGTAAAGAAAACAACTAATATATTTTTTTTATTCAGCATTTTCGAAAATAAACCAAGAGGGACCAGGAAGAAAAAACAATTGGTAAAAGTAAATGGGTAAAAACATGATGACATCATAATCGGCTGACATCCAATCAGCTACTTGTAGTTTATGCATTTGTCATGTTCTGGTTGTTGTTGTTGTTTACAATGAAGGAATGTACCGCTGTGAAATGTGTTGATTGCTGTGTTTTATATTATTATATATAGTATTGTGTGTGCATGTGCTGTAATTGTATTTAGACCTTTCTTTTTTGCCTATTTTTGTTTATTCCTGCATGGTCATATCTGTCACACCTGTCATTTGTCATGTATAGGTCGGGCCTAATCTTGGGCCTGTAGAGCTGTGTTAGTCCACTGTTTTACGGGCTGGCTAAAGGTCTGGTACCTGTGTGCAAGAAATATATTTCAATTCTCCGAGAAAGAAGCCTGCTCCCTGGTTTCTGAAGGGGTTTGGATTCTTCATTAGGCTCCTTTGATATAAATAAGTAGTCTTTTTTATGATACTTGGAGCTGATGAGTGTTCTAAAAGTGCTGACAATATCAACAATATACTAAAAAAGCATCTGACATTGTGAGGTGATTTAGCACAATAATGATAACAAATTGTTATATTATCTACTCTTATGTGTAAAACTAAACTCTTCACAATGATGGTTTTTCAAGGGTTCGTTAGCAAAGAAAATGGTTCTATATAGAATCATGAACACTTAAAGCATGGAAAGGCCAGTTCAGTCATATTAGACTCTTAAAAAAATGATGCTTTTTCAAGGGTTTTTAGTAAAGACAATGGTTCTATATAGAACCATGAACACTCAGAGAACCATTCGCATGCTAAAAGGGTTCTTTGCTTCATGAAATGGTTTTTCAGACTGATGGAGAATGTGTTGTATATGGTTCTATATAGAACCTTTTTAAAAAGGGTTCTATACAGCACCAAAAAGCATTCTCCTATAGTTACAAGCTTGACATTGTAACAATATAAGAACCGTTTTTGGTGCTATATAGAACCATACACAACAATTTAAGCACACAAATGGTTCTTTGAGTGTTCAAGGTTCTATATAGAACCGTTGCGTTTACTAAAGAACCCTGGAAGAACCATCTTTTTAATAGTGTAGAGTAGGAATGGGTTACGGACAGGGGAGGGTTTTCGGAAGGTTACGTTCTTTGGTAGATATCTGGACACATGAACTATCCACAGTCAAACAAGATGAACAATAAAAAGTATTAATTCTCAAAAGCCTATACTCTACACAGCTATAGACCCATAGCTGTGCGCTTCTCGAAGACTAAATATAAATGCCCAGCAAACGTCTTTTACAATTTTTAAATGGAAGTCAAAAAGCTTGGCTCCATAAGCAGGTCACCAGGTTCTCTCCTGAACACAGACCAGAGCTCTTTTAAAAAGTAATAAGCAAGCGTAGCATAGTCATGTCTGCCAGGTGTTGGAGGTGGTGGGGTTAAATATTCACCCAAGTTGGAACTGACCCAGCTGCTTGGCAAACAGAAGACAACAGACAGCCATAGAAAGAAGCAGGATAGTGAGCAGCAGCTGGGTTTTACTGCCCTCAGGACAGAATAAAGATAACTCTGTCTGATATAGTTCCTGTTTCTAAAGACTCAAACAAATAGCACATTTTTTTATACATACATTTTGACAATAAGGCACCACACTCTTAAATGTAAAGGAGCTAAATGGGTTCTTTGGAGCGATGCCAAGGAGGAAAAACTTTTGGTTCCTTTAAGAACATTTCAAACAATAGTTCTGTAAACCCAATTAAAGTCACTTGGTTGAAATGTTTTTTAGGGGCCTAATAGTAGTTCTTCTATTGTATCACTGCAAAGAACTTTCTGACATTTTTATTTTTTTTTAAGAATTGTAGATGTGTAAAATTAGCAATGCTTCAAAGGATACTTTTAAAAGGCCACAGATTTTGTTAGATATACAATACTGTGCAAAAGTCAGAGGCCACTCTTCATTTAGCCATTAGCCATTATATGGAGTTACAGAGTAACTGACGTTTGGGAGAAGGAATTGCCTGAAACCTCTCCTCCACCCAATCTAATGCCCTATAAATGTACATCCTCACCTGCAGTTTCCTGGAACAAAGTTCTCCCAATCACCATCACCACCCCATCTCCTCCCTGTTCCTCAGTCCCATGACTGAGTCTTACCACACTTATCAAGGGCGTTCAGTCTTCTAGCATCAGGCAGAAGCTACCCAGAACTCCAGACCAAGTTCTCAGAGTTCTCGTCCCTCCCTCAATCAGTCTTCCCTCACACTACCACCATATGGTGAAGGCACAATTTGAACTCACAATGTACAAGTTTTATTCATCTTTCAGGAGAGGTTAGATACAAGATCTTCTTAACCACTTGCATAAGGAAGGAGAAAGTCAAAGAAGGGCGAGAGAAAAAACAGGAGCCTCCGAAACGGGATTTTTAGACTACAAAAAGAACATCTACAAAACAAAGAAAGAAGCTGCTGGCGTCCTCAGAACAATAGACTGGTCACCCCAGAGTCCAGACCTCAACATCACTGAATGTGTTTGGGATTACTTGGGTGGCAAGAAGCAGAAAATGCAACCCAAATTTATCCTTGCAAATTTCTTTAATAAAATCAAGACTCCCAAAAGCAATGAAAACTGTAATAAAGACAAAGTTTTTCTTTATGCAAAATACTGAAAAATCTGTTATACAGACATATGCAAAAATCTGTGTAAAAGTTTACATTTATATTTTATTTTTTCCAAAATGTTAAACTCAGCAAGTAAATTGAAACTGTGCAGTAAAATTTGCAGAATAATGTCACAATTAAATGTGTTCCCTGCAGAGGATGTGTTAACTTACTTTTACTTAAGAAATCAACAAAACATTAGTTTGTCCAGAGATATGCAAACTTTTGCATATTGCTGCATTTAATTGTTGAGACTTCTGTGTAATTTTCTGTTAACTATGTGCTCTGTAAATTTTCCCTGAAGCTGAAAAATAAATATCTTGGGCTAAAAGGCTATTTTGACTGGAAATTAAATAAATAAAAGCTAGTCTCGGTCTTTTGCATAGTATCGTACACAATCCCTTTTATTGGAACAAAATTTAACTGAAATAAAGAAATAAATGCATGTTTGTTATACTTCTACTACTACTACTACTACTACTAATAATAATAATAATAATAATAATAATTATAGAAACTATAATTACAGATTTACCCTCACTGAATCATAGCTGACAGGAAATATTTTCTACACACACACACTTACCTCCATTATGAGTTCAAAGGGGTATTTGTAAACCCTCACTGGTGACTGATATTTCTGCACCATGGCTGCAGCTTCACCTTCTCCTTACCAGCGAGCTCTAAGTAGAGAAATAACACATAATGGATTTTTATAGTCAAAAACATATCCTTCTCAGCTGATACACTGGCATTCTGCTGTTAGTCAGCTGAGATGTGTCATATGAGCCAGAGCCCAAGGGTTGGACTGAGCAGAGGTCATGCTTTTAAGCTTTTGTGAACATTCACCAGTTTCTGTTGGTTCTCTGATTTGAAGTAAATATCTCCTTCGTTTGAGTATTGAGTCCACTGAAACGCTGAATATCAAATCTGTTCATTCAATGACGCATAAAACAAATATGAATTAATACTAATCTCAAAATTCAGGTGACAAATAGAGGTCTTGAGGGACTACAGCCCTGAAGAGTTGAGTACTCCCCTAACTGAATTCGACTACTAAAGGCCTTGGTCATTGCAAGAAATGGCAGGAAAATTTGCCAATTGGTCTCATGACAATGATGTTTTTCGGCATTATTGCATTAAAATATGATGGAAATGCTTCAAAAGTATACAGTTGCATGCAAAAGTTTGCGCACCCCTTGTCTGTTTTATTTATTATCTAAGCAAAGATGTGTATGCATTCTCTAAAGAGAACACACGTCTGCACATTTTACTGCACAATTACTGTGCATTTGCTGAATTTAACATACTGGAAATAAAATGGCTTCTTTAAAGCTATTGCACATTTTAGCATTTATGTTTTATGTCAAATATGTTAAGGAAATAAATAAAAATTGTGCATGAAAGGTTTCAGAAAAATGCCATATTTAAATGTATTCTCTGTTGAAGGTATTTATACTTTTGCACATGGCTGTTCATGCAGAATACTAATATAAATGATGCATTAAAATCACTTTCCTGCTGATATTATATTAAACTTTAGAACATCAAAAATCAACTTAAAAAAATGAATGGTTTTCACAGAATAGAGAGTTACTGAACATACTGCATATTTTGACTGCATTGTTGAGGCACATCTTTTGCAGAGAGTCTGTAGCAGCAAGTTATTTATTTCTATGGTGTCTTATTAAAAAGATGGAAACTATACACCATTATCTGATTTATTATAAATTGAAATTGTGTGGCTATCACTGAGTTATATGCCATTGTATATCATCAAAACCAGTAGTTCCTAGTCATTGTCTCCACAAAAAAAAAGATAATCAAATGTATTGTTCTTCACATATTCTGTAAGCATTACACTGTCATTTAACATGAGACAGAATGTAGGCCTTGTCTTATAGTCGTGATCACACAGTGAAAATTTAAATAATTAAATGTGAAAATGAAAAACTCTTCAGCGCGGTGGCCCTCAAGGACTGGAGTCTCACACACCTGACCTACAGTGTGACCTCATGATACACAATGTTTACAAAATATGTGCTCTCAGAGGCACAACTAGTTACATTCACTCAGTTAGATGCACTCTAGTAAAATTTTAGTGGATTTATGCTTCTCACACTCTGATACTTCACTTCTACACATGTATGTCTGTGAAGAAAAAAATCTACTTACTGCACTTAATTGTGAATGTTTAGTCATCTAATAATCATGACTTAGTATGTCATAATAAGTACTTACTACCTCATAATGAGGAAATGTTCTTATAATAAAATAAGTCATAATTATGAGAAATAAGTCATAATTGTTAGATGCTAAGTCACAATTATGAAATTGAATGTCATTATTATTAGATATTAAGGCATAATTATGAGAAAGTAAGTTGTAATTATTAGATGTTAATTTATAATTATGAGATTGTCAAGTCAAATGACCCTTTTCATTATTATGAGAAACGTCATAATAATGCAATAGAACCTCATTATATAAGATAGCAGGTCATAATTATGTAATACTAAGTCCTAATTTTGGAAAAGTTAACATTACTGTGACTTATTAATATGCTATATTTCCCCCCCTACAAGTGAGCTGCTCTGCTGATAGAAGCTGGATGTACTGAGACAGAGGAGGTTTAGAAACTACTCAGTACTTTTTTGACCTGGTACTTTTTTTTTTTTTTACCTTCGACTAAAAATACTTGTACTTGATTCATTGTTCCACTTAAGTAACAACACTTTTAGGCTGCTCTCCTGACCTCTGAAACTCCCGAGTGCTCTTCTTGATGCTGAGGTGGACAATTTGAGAAACGTTCCTGCTGGAAACATCAGTCTGACCGACAACACAATACTGGTGTCACAAACCAAACTCTGACTAGACTACAGTCTGTGAGGAGAAGGTTTTTGACATCTCAGCTAACGCTGGAGTTCTTCAGGAGTTCAGGACAGTGAACTTACCTTAAAAGTAGCTGTGACTGAGACTCCGGGACAGGGCTTACAAAAATAACAGTCCAGCAGTCCAGGGACATGAAGACTCACACTATCCGTTAAATCCACTCCATTACGGTGACGTTTATTAAAAAAATCCCGGTTTATTCTCCCGGTTGGAGCTGACAGATGTTACACAACTCTGCTGAAGTGCTCATTCAGTTAGCCTGCACTTGCCTTCACTTCCTCTAACTCCGCCTCTTCCCTGTCTGGACCAATAAGCCAACCAGAAAAGGGAAAAAGAGAAAACATAGACATTCCAGTCTGTTGACAGGTATTCGTTTAACTATTGCTTCGTTCACTCATTCGTTAGGTCGCTCGTTCATTCAAACATCCGTTGTGTCATTTTTTTAGTGTTATTTCCTCAGAAACCAGCTGTCATGCCTGTCCTGGCCAGTAGAGAGAGCTGTGACAGTTTATATTCTAAGACCACAGAGAATTACAACAGTATTACCAGAGTTTATGAGGAGTCTGGTCTTCTATTTTATGGAGTTAGTTTTGTGCCAAAATGTTTGAGAGAAGATCCTGATGTTTGAGAGAGGAATGTTCCGGTTTGAGAGGACAGCGGTGCTCTGAGCGCGCAGCTAATGAACTTGAACGCACTTGTCAGCACGAAGTGCGGCAGGTAAACGCCTCGGATTTGCTCAACAAAACACTCTGGTTTCATTCAAAACTTGAAAATCTGCACAACAGTGCATTTCCCTCTCAGAACTCGTATGTGCAAAACACTCCGGTTTTCACTCAAAACTGGAAAACCTGCTCAATCATGCTCTTCACCTTCAAAACTCGCACGTGCACGCAAATCATTTCTGCTCTCAGCTCCGCAGCGCGCGCTCAACTTTCACATCCGCTCGCTGCGAAATGTCTCAATGTTTGTGCCAAAACACCAGCCAATCAGAGCTGCCGAGGGGCGGTTCCTGTCAGCGCACCAATCATGGCGTCTTTTCTTGCGCAGCTTAATGCCAAGGTCAAGGTACGTTCGTGGCTGTGGTATTGAGTCGGCTAGTGTGCTTGTAGCCTCGACATTAGCTAGATGGTTTCTTGCTTTCTCGTAGCAAATGAATAGAAACGATTTATCAGTAATACTGTGTCATAAATAATAACGTATTAATCTAACTAACATTGGTAGCTTGGCCATTTGTTACCTACCAGAGGCTTAACGGTAGCTAACTTCAAATAGCTTAACATTAATCAACTAAGCTGACGTTAGCAAGGTTTCTTTGACTGTAGCTAACAGTGTCTAACAGTGTTCTACTGAACTCTCCTATAGTGCTTGTCTTCATAGGCTCATCTTGTTAATCCTGTATATTTATCTTCTAGAGTGGCGTCATCAAAAAACAATACTGATGCCGTGCAGTTTTATATGGACAAAAAAAAATTCAGGGATTAATAAAGTTCATCCTATTTTGTTTACTAGACATAAATCTGTGCCTCTTTTCTAAGGGCCATGTTGTTATTTAGCACCCATCAACAGTAGGTTGGTTTGAAGCCAAAAGTCAGTGTGTTTTGATAACCTAAACTTAAACATTCCTCTCTCAAACATCAGGATCTTCTCTCAAACATTTTGGCACAAAACTAACTCCATATTATTTCCCTTCGTTATTTCAAAAACAGGACTGCAAAACAGCGGAGGGCGCCCGCGAGCAAAATTATGAGCCAGGACGTCATACTCTCACTGAGTGCTGATTGGTTAGCATTACTGTTACTGAGTGCTGATTGGTTGGCGAGCTGATCAGCTGACTGACCGAATGAAGTGATGTCATGAATGTATATGAGGCAAGGTTATAAAGTCCTATGACTAGAGTTAAAAATGCTCAAAAAGATAAGAGGAAAAGAACCCATTCTCCTATATAAAAAACGTCCAAGCATTTACAAACTATGATTATGCTTAAATGCTCCATATGAACCCATTAATTTTCACTCACTTAGGAGCGCCCTCTAGTGTTTGACAAACCTTAAAGACATTACTCAGTGGCAATGTGCCTCTCTACAAGTTTTCTAAAACTACTGCTGCTGTTCAGGTTCTGAATAAATGGATTAACGAATGAGCGAATGAATGAACAAAAACAAGTAAGAAGGAAATAAACAGTGGATGTAAACCCTACTTAAGTAAAACTACTGTTTCTTCTGTGACAAGACCTAAGTTGAAGTAAATGTATACAAAATAAAAACAAACAAGTAAATAAATAAAACAGGCCAAAACTTATTAAATATTGAGTTCCCCATGTGGAACGTCTTACATGCTCTGTTCTTCACTTTTTGATGCACTCTTGCTCTAAATTAATATGCTACAGCTCCAACAAAACAAAACTTATTTGTAGGAACTTAAAGCTGCACTATGTAAGATCTTTTAAAAATTGAATAAAGCAGCATTACTATGGAGGAGCAGATTTGCCAAATTGAAAAATAAAATTAAAAAATAAATGGCTCAGTAAATTAATCAGTAAATAAAAAAACTAAATAAAGTATGTATTGCTTATTGTGATTGTAATTATACACATATTTCCTTTTTCTGCAGTTATATATTTCTCACTTTATTTATTTCTGTATTATTTTTGTTTTATTAATGCCATTTTTATATTTTTTCCATATCTATATTTTTAACAATTGTTTGCTTTATTCTTTGATTCATGTATTCATGTATTTATTTTTTCATCAATTCATTTATGTATTTCTGTATTTCCTCCTTCATATGATAATGAGGGTGCGTGTTTTTCACGTTCAGGCTTAGCTTAACTTCATAAAGAACTGCATGGACAGACAAATCTGCCGATAAATAACTCTCAATGGCTTCCACAGGCCATATGTGAGAAGGGCGTCTGAATGTCTGAGTGATCTGAATTTTGCAGGAAAAGACGTTCAACCACCTCCTCCAAAGTTTTGAACACTACTGGTCGCCCTCTGTATCAGCAGAGGCAGCAAAATGGATCAAACTGTTGCCACAGCCTCCACACGAACGAGTAAACAATCCGGACCTGCATTTTCAACCAGATCAGCCGAGACTCTCGGGTCTCTGACTGTCTCCTGCTGTAAGAAGCCGTTATTGTACTGTCTTGTCCTTAGTTACCGCTGAGAGAGCAAGACACGTACAATCGATCTACAGAGTCTGACATCGATCAACCAATAGGAATATTAAGACGCTGTGACATCATTGACTGACAGCCCCTTTATTAGCATAAGGACAAGGAAATACAGAAATAAATAGAGAAATAAATAAATATAGACATTAATAGTTATGGAAATAAATTAATAAAATAAATTAATAGAAAAACAAAAAATGTTAATAAAGAAACATGAATAACAAAAAAAAATAAATACAAAAATTAATGAGAAGGGTAAATTACTAAACAGACATATAAATAAATGCAGACATTAATTTATATAAGATTTTAATTATTAATATATTAATTGTTATGTATGTTTATTTATTTTTATTTTTATTATTCTTTGCAATTCTACTTCATATATTAATTTAAGTCATTTATTTAAGTCATTTATTTATTTTATTTATTTTTCATTTTGGCAAATCTGGTCCTCCATACATTACTGAGTCAGAAGAAAAAAAAAACACTAAAATATGGTGCGTGTGCACCACTGGGAGTTGCCCTGTAAAGCCTGAAACAACCTTTTAAAAGTCAAAGGCAGTGGGTAGGATTTCGCAGCGGTTTTTTGAACTATATCTTTTAGTAATAACACCCAGACAGCCTCAAAAAGCAGGTCTGGCTGGTTGTTTAAGTCTCAAATCCTAAATCGACATCATACTGATGAAGTTACAATGACAATAGTAGATAATTCACTTACATCCTTGTAAGACACATCCTTTAGCAAGTTCTCTTTGAATACTCTTTCAACGCACTCACAATCAGATTCATCCTCTTGGGGAAGGGGTCCGAAGCATTGCGTGCAATTACATGTCTCCACCAGAGAGGTAATCAAACCGCCAAAATGTACAGAGTATAGCTATAATATCAATGATTAAAACATAACTGAGTAGTAAAAAAGAAGATTCCTTTCTTCACAAACATACTTCAAATTAATCGAATACACTGAAAAGTACAAAATTCATCAAACTGTAACTTGAGTACATTTTACTTTTACTTCTAGCCATCAAAAGCTGTAACAGAACAATGTTTTCCAACTCCTGCAGTGTACCCGCATTGCTCAATTTCCTATTTTTCCTGCAACAGTCTTATCATTAGCTAATGATCCTTGGCTAATGATCTGAAAGTCCTTGTTGGGCTGAATCAGGTGTTTTAGAATAGAAAAACATGAAATTGAGCTGGGCAGTGTGGGCCTCCTGGACTGAGTTTGGAAAGCTTACTTATTTACAGCAGAAAGAAAGAGGCTGCTTATTGAGTTTGAAACTTGAGACATAAAGGAAGGTCATATGTAGAAGTTTATAACATAATGGAAGTTTAATAGACCAAACTGTGGTTTTAATCTTCTCTCCAAGTATGTGGTAAAACACTAGCATGTTAAAACTCTGTGATGAACTTGGTCTCTCATAGTCACATACGCTTAGAATAAGAATATGTTCATAAAACTTCTCAAAAACTGACAATTTCTTGATTCTTTTAGGTTATTTGCTTTCCAGCCACCTGAACTGGTAACATTAACTGCTTGGATATTAACTTTTCTTTACTACCTTAGTTTTTACTCTCAGGCAACTATTATTGGATATTGATGTTTAAATGGCTGAAGTTACAGAGGTATTTGCAGAGCTTAAGATGACTAAGGCTTAGACTGCCTACACTGCAACTTTGTACTTACAGAAATAAAGAAACCGCCAAGCAGGTCAAATGACAACTCAGCACTGCATAGTATTGCATCTCTACGCTGAATGTTTTAAAGCTAACCTGTAGATTCAATAGATAGAATTCGTTATTAAGAAAGGAGAAGAAAGACGGGCAAACAGCTCTGGATCCTGCAGGCTCTTCAAGTGCTGGTGGTCAAGGTTGTTATTCAAGGTTGCTGAAAGTGCCTCCATTAGTAGACTTTCAGTGCAGACTGCTCTCTCTGCATTCCTTCCTAAATGCACAGTCACAGCTGAGATAGCAAAGTAAATATTCATGACTTGGGAGGGAAATAAGAAAGGAGAAAAAAATAAACAGCTGGTGATGGAAATGCGGTCTGTAATTTTCATTTCCACAGCCTCACTGTCATATGTCGCCACCGCGAAGAGCAGGGAAATTGATCACAAAG